GTATGAATATGTACCAGCCATGAAAATGGCTAAAAAGAGGCAACTATTCACTCTTTTCACATTGTAGGAATGGGACAAAGTTACTTCTGGCTCTAAAAGTTTTTCTGGATGACATTAGCCCTGAGTTGCAATATTTGCCTAGGAAATATAATTCAGGATTTTAGTATGTACCCATAGAACACAAAGAAATGAGCCAAAAATGGGACATATGCAAATATCTTGTCCAAACACAACGTGGTGTTTGCATATATCACAAAACCATATTTCAGGCTATGTTGAAGCTCAATGAAATCATCATCTCCAAACTTGCACAGCCCTTCAGATGGTCAAGTGCCCCCAACTATCATTTGACTGTATTCAGCCTTTTGGTGCCACTGGGCTTCATGCTCATGCTGTGAAGAGCGGATGTGAAATAAGAAATAAATAAGAAAACCTCAAGTTCCTGCACCAAAATCGTTAAGTGGTATGAAGAGGATTGAAGAAAGCTTTGTCCCATCCCTGAACAATGTCAACCTCTGTAATACAACTCAAATAGTTTTGTTTTGTTTTTTAAAGACAGTCAGCAGTCAATACAATTCAAGTACTTTAACACAGTTCAAAACTAAACAAAACAGAAGAACCAAAACTCGGAAGACAATCGTTCTCTGTATTAAACATCAATATAGAGCTGATAAAAGATTTACTCTGTGTGTGTCGGTGCATGTGCATAAAATACATAGAACTACACACCTGAATTACTGAGGCAGACAATTATTCCCCACATCCTTCCCCATTCTTTGAGTTTAGGGGGCTAATCAGAGAGAGCTTTTCCCTATTTCTTTAAGCATCCACCTCCCTACCCCCATTCCACAGCTTGACTAGAAGAACAATCAGGAACCTATTGCCTATGGCATACACAATAATTAGGGATCCAAGTCCTAGTTTCACACAGTAGAGAAGAGTGACTTTTATCAAGGAAAATAGTGCCTCCAAGATACGTTCTTTCAAATGCAGAGCCAGAGACCCTTTTGCTTCCATAAAGCAGACTCTCCTTCCAACAGTAAGTCTGTACAGCCAAATGCTCTGGTTAACAATTCTGAGTGTACACTTACTAACTTAGTTCTTTACTTATAACAACTTACATTATTTTTTGTCTGTATTCACATCAGGGAGAAACACTTTGTAAAATTTTAATCAGTGTATTATGTGTGTCCAGTTTACAAAGAAAGAAAACCACACCATCTGGTTAGTTCTTAAATAATGAGTAAATTAAGTTGAAATAGAGATAATCTGGTGGCTCCATGTGGACGTCAGGTTTTGTTTTTTTTGGGTAACTATTTTTATTCTTCTGAAAGTTATGATTTTTTAAATACATCCCTGGGTCCCAAAATATTGAAAAGGTTTGATGCTTATGATCCTTTTGGCAAACATAACATATTGTTCCACATTCATATTGTAAGTACCAAACAGTCATTGAACATGCGTCATACACAGAGGTGCAGATAACTTTTAGAACTACTCAAAGGCTGAAGTACTGAATTAAGTTGATTTAGGAGATTTTTGAAAGGGATGGAGAGGGACATGAATCCTTAAATAATTGATTCATGATCAGAATAAAAATTATAGCTAGAGATTCTATAAAAATGAACAAAAATGTCATTAATTTAACAAGATTTTAGGTTAGGCTGAATATATTATGCATGGCTTTCAAATATTTTATTGGTGCTTCTATCAGTTAAAAAAAAAAGTGGGGAAAGCTTCTAATTTTATCTTAGTTTAATGAAAAAAACTATATAATATAGAGTAATAATTGTAAGATTAGTTGTAAATACAAGCCAAAATTTAGCATGTGAGGTTTTAATAAATAACAAATTGCTACTTTCATTTGAATAAAAAACTGCATGTCATTTATATCTAATTTGTATAAAACTGAAGGTTTTAAGATTATCCAATACTATAAAAGAAACAGCTAATTCAGAATAACATTTTTGTAGAGAATTTTAAGAGAACTGTATTATAACTTTATTAATATAAAAATAAGTAGGAGTCACTGTGTATATATTATGAAACCAAAATAGATGGCTTCGTTCTATTTTTTAACTCTTCTAACAATCTATTTTACTTAGGATGCACCACAAAATGTGACTGCATGACTCCAAAATATGGAATCAACCTTTTTAATGTAGATTCATAATATATAATTCAACCTATTAGAATTATATTAAAATAACATAGTAATTAATAAAGATTAATTTTCTTTTTTCTAATTTTCAAAATGGTACTTCGAAGTGTGTATATATGCATATATATATACATACATATACATATATATATGTGTGTGTATATATATATATATATATATATACACACACACACACACACAAATATCCTGAACTTTCCAATCACAAGGAATTACCTTTCCATCCTAAAAAAATGTGTGAGTCTTATTACCATGTATACACATACACCTCTGCAGATCTGTTTGTCATGTCATAAACATTTTATAAATGTGCAAATGGTCTATTAATATTTCTATGAATTTTTATTGTAATTATGGGCTACTGTATCAGTGATGCTTACTGATATCTGAATAATAAAATATATTCACCCTCATTTGCATAACTGTAAGTCTCTTTGACCTCTGATAAATTTTTCATATATGGTTTGGGTTTTATGACAACTGACACAAGAGACTGAATATCTTCGCCCTACCATAACTTTGCACATATATGCACCAGCCACACACAGAGTATATACACAAACACACAAATATTTCAAAGTGAAAAAAAAATCTAACAATACTGCATAGGACATGGACATGGTAATACAATAAGCATCTGTGCCTGGATAGTACTGTTCTCAAAGCATCAGTTATTCCCATAACATAGGAGCTTCTCCCTTCTCCCCAGTTCTCCTTCACAGAACAGTTAAATTTCTTTTTAGAAAAGGGGAAAAATCGACGCTTAGAAACATGGTGTTTTTCCTCTGATCGAGCCTGCTGGCTTACCTTAAAGATTGTGTATTTGTGTGTGTATGTGTGTATGAGTGTGTACATGTGTGTAAAAATCACATTATATACAATACAATTTTTACAGAAAGCCTGGCAGCTACAAATAAGAGGTAGAACTACTCAAAACTATGTTTCCTGCTGCAGGAAAAAATTCATTATTTTACAGTAATTAAAAAAAAAAGTTTAAAAAATTGACAAAAAAATAAGTTGCAGGTTAGGCCCCATAATTTAAACAACAAAATCTAGGAAGAAAAATATTCTTCAAATGTACTCAACAGATAAGTTCATTAGAGGGTTAAAAAAAGTTGCATAGGAAAAAAGGGACATTCCAGCACTTGCTACAAGGAAGGTGATAGTTTCGCTACAGGCAGTAAAGTACCTTTAGTTTTTCTTCTTTTGATAATTCTAGGACTGGGTTCATAAGCAAGAGCAACTTAGAATAGCAGCACTTTTCCAGTTCCGGAGAGCTCCGTAAGCAAGAGGAAACACTGTCTGGAGATCAAGGTTTGTTCTGCCAGACAGACAGGCCAGTAAGCACAGCTCCAAAGCTCAAGTGGTAAGTTCCTTCAGTATTTGAATGAAAGGTGTTATAAAATCCTCAATACTTCTGACCTCTGGCTAAGAAGGGAAAAGGACCCAGTCTGTGCGTGTCCTGCGTGACAGAGGAACCTGGTTGTCAGAGGATACATCTGAAAGTGTAACAAATAGGGGCTCTTCGGGTGCTGTTTTTCAGGAATGGTGCACTACTGTCTTAGTTGTACCTTATGCTGGGGAGAAGCAGAGAGAGCACTGTACTATTTGGCCAATGACCAAAACCCAAGACAAAACAAGAATTAAAAATAAACAACCAGACAAGCACACAAAACCAACAAGACCATGAACAAACAAAATCTGTTAGTCTGAGGAAAGACAAACAAGTTACAATGTGGTTTCTGTTCCCTTGCTCCTCCAGTAATCATCATCGTCGTCGGGCTCAAGTTCTATTCTGATTTGAGGCACAACTTGTGCTGGAGTTTTAGGACTAGAGAAAAAGAAAAGAAAACGAACTGGTGAGTAAATCAGAGTTCCTTTCTCATCTGTCAACTGTCTTTATATTGGACAGAAGCCAAATGTGTCCTGTGTTTTCTGTAAATATTTATCTCCAATTGCTGTATTCATAAAACAAACATTTTTTAAAATATATTTTATTGATTTTTAACAGAGAGGAAGAGAGAGGGATAGAGAGTTAGAAACATCGATGAGAGAGAATCATCCATCAGCTGCCTCTTGCACACCCCCTGCTGGGGATGTGCCCGCAACCAAGGTACATGCCCTTGACCGGAATCGAACCTGGGACCTTTCAGTCTGCAGGCCTACGCTCTATCCACTGAGCCAAACCGGTTTCGGCAAACAAACATTTTTTAAGTAGGATCAAGGTACTTAGAGAGTCAAGATATTCAAGTAAAAATGCCTTAAGCTCTCATACCTAGATTTGAAGAAAACAAACAAACAAACAACAACAACAAAAAAAAAACAACCAAGGTGGACTGCGAGGTGGGTGATACTGTCAACTTAAAAGACACAAAGACTTTCATGAAGAAAATATTCAGGGATTATACTTTGGAGGCAATCAGTTAAGATCTGAAATCTGCAGAGCCAGGTGAGGAGGGAAGGAAACTCCTGGAGGGGAGCCGCCAGGAAATGCAGTTACCCATTAAGTCAGAGATGAAACAGAAATGATAAGAGGTGACACTGATTGATCTGGGGCTTTATTTTAATGCTACTGAAAAGGTTTCAGTATTTCTAAAAGTAAACAGAGGAGGTCTCTTAGAAGGCCCTCTACCAGGGAAAACTGGGGCAAGGTTTGGTGGTTGGGTAATTCATTTAAGATAAAAGGAAGGAGAACAAGGTGTCCTGCCAATAACCCGCCTTTGACTTCACGTCTGTGGGGCAATCATCGCACAGAACAACGTAGGGGAAACGGGCCGTCCTTTACCTTAGCATACCCAGTGACTGAAGAAAAGGAATTTTATCAGCATGATGTGTGGTGTTCAAGGAATGTTGGTGATCTTTCTCCTAGAAGAAAATAAAATATCTTTGTTAACCATAAAGGGTAGTTCTTGATAATACTTAAAACTAGAGTGAAAATTAAAATCCCCACAAAAATTGATGCCTCTTTTCACAATTGGGAAGAGTAAGAGAGGCGAGTGTAGACAATTTCAAAAAACATTGTATCAAAGGAAGAGTCTAACTAGTGTGATGAAGCCAAATCACTTTTGTTTCCTTTACTCTAAGTTTTTTTCCTAAGGATAACCACTAATGTTCCTCCCAGTGAAAAGGCGGGAGGTGAATCGTTTTTAAAAAGTGGTATAGCGTCTTCTTAATATCTTAGGCTTACTCTTGGATTTCCTTATATCTTCAGCATTCAGAATTTTGTCCCATTATTTGTGGGGAAATAAAAAGATTTTGAGGAACTTATTTATATTGCAACTCTATTTTGTTTTTTTCATGTATTATAAAGATAAATATGATTTTAGAAAATATGTCATTTGGCCCTGGTGCGTGTGGCTCCATGGCTTGGGCATCATCTCCTGCACTGGCAGGAGCTCTATTCCCAGTGGGGGCACATGCCTGGGTTGCAGGCTCCATCCCTGGTAGGGGAGTGCAGGAGGCAGTGGACAAATGTTTCATCCTCATATTGATGTTTCTCTCTCTCCCTTCCTGTCTTTCTAAAAATCTATTTTAAAAATGTCAGAATGATTATGGATGATTTGCTTAAGTAAATTTCTAATATATCAGTTTTCAAAGTATCCTTTTTAAAGCATTTTTGAGAGAATGAAGAATACTAGCAGCAGATAATCTAATTGCTATAATTTTTTTCCAGGAGCCTCAAATTCTAACTGATTTTTTTTTCTTCTTCCTAAAGCAATTTTTAAACTGTACTTGGAAGGACTCTACTAGCTAGATGGACGGCATGCGTAACGAGCTCTCTTTCAGTCTTCATTTGCTATTGATGCTCTGATGATGAAAAATGGAGCTGGAACATGGTTTGGAGAACTTGAATTTAAAAAGAAAAAATTAACTGAATCCCACTGACAGGACTGAAAAGAAATTGGCCTCAGTTATAAACTATAGCCTATGTACAGATTAGACACTAAAGGTGAAAATATTTTCATTCTTTAAACCTAGTGTGCTGGCCAGATTCCAAGGTGGTCCCCAATGCTCCCTGCCCCCCTGGTATTCATGTCCTTGTATAATTCCTTCCTACACTGTACCAGAGTTGGTGTGTATACCCAATAGAATATGGCAGAAGGGATGATAGACCACTTTTGAGATTTGATTATAAAAGACTGCAGTTCCTGCCTTGATTCCACACGGTTATCACTGGCTCTGGTGGAAGCCAAATCACACATGGGCAGCCCTATGGAGGTGCCCACAGGCCAAGGAACTGACACCTGCCAACTGCCTGTGACTAAGTTTGGAAGCAGATCCCAGTTCCCATCAAGACTAGGCCCCAGCAGGGAACTTGTCTGACACCTCCTGAGACACCCGGACCCAGAAACCATCCAAATCAGCTGCTCCTGGATTTCAGAATGTCAGGCACTGTGTTAGAAAACAGGTTGGTTGTTTCCAGCTGCTAAGTTTTGTAGTAATTTGCTACATAGCAATCAATCACCCATATACCTATTTTCACAAATAGTCATTCATTTCAAACTTCTCATGTCAAGCTGTTATTGCAGCAGCACTGTCAAATAGAAGTGAGAAGATCTCAATTGTCTTTTCGTTTAGCAGATCAGTAGACTCTGAAGGGCATCTGGATCTTAAAATATACATTTTTCCCCAGTGGGAATGCAAAGCGAAAGCAGTTTGGAAACCACTGCTATTGGAAAAGCTTGAGATATACTCAGTAATGTTACTATAGAGGTCCCCCCCTTTTAAGGAGCCTGTTGTTTACAAAAGAAAAGCTGATGTGTCAGAATTCACAACACCGTAGCCATCGGGCTATTACCTAAGGAAAAAAAACAGTGCAGTTACAAAGATGATTTTGAAATAGCAGAGGAGGAAGACAGGGAGAAAATGCACAAATCTTGTACATCATACCTAAAAATTTCTGTTAATTAGTTTATGATTGCCAATTAAATTTAAAATAATCAATTATTCCAAATTCTCATCAACCACTGATTCACTGATTACTGAGAGCCCATGTTGCAATTTCTCTTTTGAGCTGATCTGGTCATTGGCTGAAGCCTAAGGAAGACAAACAGTAACAGACAGTGATGTAGTCCTATGAGCCGCAATTCTAAACACCAGCAGGAAAAAGAAAAATCAGTTAGAAACATGGTTATGAGTTTAGCAATGGAAAGAAACTGGTGATAACTTGGATCAGAGAAAAGACTACTAAGCAAAAACTTAAGATAAAAGGAAGAAAAGGGAAGCTCAAGGAATGTAAAAATGAAGTTTAAAAAAAAATAATTAAGTGGAAATCTTCGCACAGAGGAAAAAGGAAATGGAGGGAAAGTTAATGCAAATGATGGTTCTAAAGTTTTTTCTCTGCAAGTGCAAATCATATTAAAGCAGGGAAGCAAGAGGTTAGTTCTACTCACTGTCGGAAGGTTTGCTATCACTTAGGAAAGGTTGCTGTTCCATGATGTCCATTGGAATTTTAATACTTGGAACTTTTTCTGAGTATGGGCAGTCAGACTGTGAAAGAAATTTGTAAGTTTTAAGAAAGGTGTTACTGTACAGACCTCCCTACCTCCTCATATTGAGTAAACTTACCAAACTGTCATTTACATTGTACTAAGGAGAAAAGCCTTAGATACAATCATTTTCACTTGGCTAACTTTTCACATTCTCCACCATCTTTCTCCCTTACTTTTGTTTTCCTCCCTTCTGAGTTAATGGGATTGAGTCCATTAACACTAGCACTGCACCAAATGGAAGTCACTATAGATTGGAACAACTGGAAAGCTTTCCACCAGCAAATATTTATGCATTTGTTATAATGTAGATTATAATGTAGACACTTAAAAAATGACTGAACATTTCTCAGTCTCAAGTTCCTCATATGTAAAGTAGGGACAAAAATATATACTAGAAACAGCGGTTTTGGCAACTGAAGACAAGCATGCATGGTCAATGAAAAGGACCAAACACAGCAAAAATGAACCACACTCCCACTCTAGAATGGGATCCAGGACTTCCATTAGAATAGGGATACTTCACTGCGTTAAAAAATTCAGAATAAATCTTCACACAGAAAATCTCATTTTGGCAGTCCTTTCAAAGACTACTAGAATAGGCTGGGTGTGCTGGGTGTGTGTGTGTGTGTGTGTATGTGTGTGTGTGTGTTAAACAAATCTCATCTTTTCTTCTAGCACTAATGACAGACTCCTATTAGAGCACCTGTATTCCTTTGAACTGATCTCCTAAAGAAAAAAAATGGGCAGTTATTTTATATTTCAACTTAATCACCCACCTGAAGGAGGATCATCTATGACTATTACAATTATGTAAAAAGACCCTAAAGGTCAATTCTTTTTAATTGAAGGGTTAGAGAGAAATAATCCAAAATCATGTCAAAGCCCAATGCAAAGATAAAAACAATAGCAGAGGACTTTGGTTGAGAGCCTGCTCAAACACAGATAACAGGAGGTGAGGGCACTAGCATTTGTCTACATTAGGCTTAACATTATTACATAAACCGGAGTCATCTCAAATTGAAATCCTGGATTGTCAACAGCAAATCAAATACATTTTATAGCCATACTAAGCCAACTTACTTTTTACTTATGAAACTGGAGTTCTTTAGATGTGGTGGACTTTTTTTTTGCTTTGGTTTCTAGAAGTCATTTTATCATCTTTAGTGTATTAATGGTTAAAGAAAGGCTTCAGAAAATATTAAAAAAAAAACAAAGAGAGAAAATAAAGGGTAAAGGAAGGTGAAGACTGACATGTAACAATGACAAGTAAACATTCTCAAAACTCAGACATACATCTCACATAAGGGATAAAAGAAAATTGGTTTTTCACATTTCTTTCTTTAACTAGCGTTATTCTGTAATTCTGGAAAATTCCTTACATCATCAATGTCACTATCCAGACTTCCTTTCTTCTTTTTCTTTCTCTTCTCATCTTCCTTCTTTTTCTTGTCCTTTTCTGGAATGACATCATCGAGGAAGCTGAGGTCGTGCTGGGAGAAGAGGTAGTCCATGCCTTTTCTGACAGCTACCAGTGCCAAGATCTGAAAGAATAAGTATAAAAAAATATGAAAAGAACCTTGTCGGATGAAGTCATAATGATATAAATACTTTCTTATCAAAGGCGGTTGAACCCTACTTTGTATAAGGCAAGAGGATGATGGAGCTCATCTTGCTTATATGAACTTACATTAAGTGGACCGTAAACATTTTCTTCATGGAGAAAGTTGGCTTAAAAAGTGTTAATTGACATGCACTTTGTTTTGTTCAATGAAATGTATATAATCAATTTCACTTAGAATCTCAATATGAAAGGATTAGTTTTAAAATTATTTTCTTCCATGTTTTAGCTTTTTAACAAAATAACTAAAAAATTTAAGAAAAAAAATAGCCTGCTTATGATTTCTAATTACTCAAAATTAAAAGAGTATACAAGTTTTTGAAAATCTGTGCAACATACAGTAAACTAAGACATCTTCAAAATATTAATAATGAGGTAGTAGTTGAATATGCACAGACCATTTAATCTACTGAGTGACTGAATACTTACCATGTTTCAGATGCTGTGCTAAAACTCTTAGGCAGTATTTTCTTATTCTCACAACAAACCTAAAGAGTAGATATTAGGATCTCTATCTTACAGCTGAGGAAACTGAAGCTTTTCGACGTAAGTACATCATCCAAGATCACTAAGCCAGAAAAGGGAAGAGTACGGAGGGGCCCAGCTGCCTGCCTCTAAAACCAGTATTCTTAAACTCCGTATCTTTGATTCTATAAATAGTTCTTGAGGATGAACTTCTGAGGGACATTAAAGATGTCCTTGCTCAACAGTGAAATCTGTATGTGCTAGGATACAAGTCACGACTCTGCTTCAAATAAACAGTTGTCTCTATCTGTATGCTCTCTGGGTTTCAGTTTCTTCATTTCCTAAAGAAGTTAATAAATCTGCTCTACAGAAATTATGTGATTGTTTTGGGATCAAATAAAAGCTCTCAAAAGATAAAAATACTTTATAAAGGTAAAACTTTGTTTCCTTATTTAGCACAAGTAGTAAGTGATTTACTAGATATATTTCAAATTTATCCTTTGTTGTTGTTTTTTGGCATTAGCAAACCTAATAGATAGGTACATTAAGGCAAATGGGAATTTTTTTCTCACTCAGTATGTTTTTCAGTAAGTTAATAGAGTTTAAATGGAGCTGAGGAACTGGGTGAAGGAATTGAGAAGTACAGATTGGTGGTTACAAAATACTCTTGGGGATGTAAAGTATAGCATAGGGAATATAGTTAATAATAACATAATAACTATGTATGGTGCTAGGTGGGTACTGGAATATTGGGGGCAACACTTTGTAAAGTATGTGATTGTCTAACCACAATGCTGTAAACCTGAAACTAATACAAAATAATATTGAATGTAAATTATAATTTAAATAATTAAAAAGTAAAAAATAACATAAAAAGATATAATTAGTTATCCCCCCCAAAAAATCTGACTACAAATATCACTAGTATTTTATACCATTTTTCCTGCATCTCTGGAAAGAAAAAAAAATAACACAATTATAAACAATAAATAACCATAAAACAAAATAATAATCCTAAGAGAATTTTTATAAAAAACAAAATATGGTTTATATATGAAAATTCTGTTTCCAAAGCCCTAGCAGTGACAGAGCAGACCTAAGGCTGACTTTGTGACTTATTTCAAGTGTATGTATGTGCATTTTCTTTCAAGAAATGGAAATCTATGATAAAGTATAAAATTCAATAAGGGAACCAAATATAGAGCTAGCATTTCCTTTTTTCATATTCCATATTATCTTGTATTAGTTTCAGGTGTACAGCATAGTGGTTAGATAATTACAAAGTGGTCCCCATGATATTTCCAATACCCATCTGGCACCATACATGCTTATTACAATATTACTGAATATATATCTTCTGCTGTAATTTACGTCCCCGTGTCTGTCTTATAACTACTAATCTACTTTTTAATTCTTCCACCTTTTCACCCAGTACTTCTCACCATATCACAGCAAGGATAAAGAGCCCAGACTTAAATTTAGCATGATCAAACTAGCAAGACCTTCAAGAGTGAAACTTTTCATTCCATTTCTTCTATCTATGGATAACCTCTCATAAGTTTCCCAGTTTGTCAATTTGTCCTCTATTATTTGGCATACGTTGACATACGTATGACATACGTTGTTACATTGATTCTATTGTGACATACGTTGTTACATTGATTCTATTGTACAAAATTCTAAAATATGACATACGTTGTTACATTGATTCTATTGTACAAAATTCTACCGTATTTTAAAAATAACCAATGTGTATTGGTCTCTACTATGTGCAGGGCATTGTGCTATATATTTGATATTCATTACTGATGCTCAGAATAACAACAATACCAGCCTCATCTTACTGACACGTTAACGGCAGCTCAAGGAGTTTCACCAACCAGCACGAACCAGGGCCAGGATCTGAACTCATCTTAGTCTGACTCTGAGGGTAGACAATCATAGTCACAGGAACCTTAAATTACAGCTGAGCCAATCTAAATGAGTTAGCCAAAGCTGGAAAAAAACTGGAACCACACATAAAAGATACCACATGACATTGGTATGACCTCATGGGGAGGTTCAATGAAGGAAATCCCTACCATGACTGGGAAAATGATAGCAGCCACGGTTGACTTGAGGATCCAGAGCAGGGCGAGGCACAGCACCTGCAGGAAGGTGAACAGGTGGACTCTGCGCAGCGGGACGTGGCGCAGGTAGATAAAGTCAGGCTGATGCTTCAGAGGCATCAGGAGCAGCTTCAGGCGATCCATGAACTGGGGGGCAGAAGGGAGGAGAGTACAGTTGCATTACTTCAGGAGCTGATGCACGGAATCATTTCCATTGTGCCCGACTCTCCGCCAGTGACTCATCTCCTCTAATTCGGGCCAGCAGTATCTTTTTCAGAGGACAGCGGCCAAGAAGTGCAGAAATTCAGCCTACCTAGCACTATTAGACATTGTAGGAGTCTTCGATTTTCATTACTTTGCAGCAATGATATGCAGTCATATGAGCTAAAGTGGCCTCCAAGAATAAAGTCCCAAAGCACAATGTAAATTCTAGAGGTTCATCTCTTTCTGTTTATACTGAGCCTTGGGACAGAGGATCTTTGACTCTGTAATAATGATATGCAGAAGCAAGTATCTTACACTAATGCATCTTACACTACCTCTGTTGTCGTATCTGAAAAAGGAGGCGATGCTGCTATGTGTCACATACATTTCAGGGATATTTCAAGGATATAAAGGAAGTTTCCATCTTGCAAGTGGGAATGCACTGGTATTTTCATAAACTCCACATTATCTACGGCATCAGTAAGACATTCAGCAATGCACTGCCATTTTTAAAAAAGAAAAGCCAGGTGAATATGAATGACCGTGAGTTTCAGAGGGTCCACCATCAGAGAGTAGAATCCTGAAGGGGCTCTCACACCATCATGTAGGAGCAGGTATTGAAACTCCTGCTGAGCACCTGGGTGCCAGGGGCTGCACTTCACAGAATAGATGATGAATTTACACTGATGGTGATGATAAGGATGATATCGCCACACCTACCATATGATCTTTTTGATGGGAGATGCAGTAAATAACTGCTAAAGTGAATTATCATGTCATAAGAACTCTGAAATAATATCCCTGTGTTCTCTCTGGAGGGAAGGGAAAAGTGTAAAATGAAACTAGACTATTACAGACAACAGTCTCTGAGGGCCTTGCTGTGATAAAATTCCCTGCTAAAATCAAATCTTGCCTAAAGTTCTAAAAGAGGAAAAATCAAGAGGAAAGTAAGGAAAAGAGAGAAAAGGCAATAGGGACAGCAACTGAGTTATGGAGCTTTATATTTTTCCCTTCAGCAAAGGGTTTCCCCATCATGTCATTGTGATATAGATTTCTTTCTTCTATTTAAGAAACATGTACTTAGCTCTAACCATCAATCAAGTACTTAGAATGCATACAACCAAACTTCTTATCTAGACTGACCTTTTAAAGCTAAACAAAATAAGCACTATTAGTTTGGAGGTCACATTATTTTCACATCTTTCCAGTTAGGAGAGTAAACAATATTTAAAATACCAGGAACAAATATCATATTTTGATACATTTATCTTCCTGAAAAGTTTTATAGGCACAAGTAAATGCACATTCATAGTCATCTAATCCCACCTCTGAAAACTGCCTTGTGTTTTGTAACAAATAACCAAGTGGTGAAGAACTCTAGTCAATGGGCCTAAATAAGGAAAAATAAAGTAGCCTTTTCTCTTTTGGGGAGTCTGGCCACTTATCCAGCTCTTGCTGACTATAAAACTAAATTAATCTAAACTCAATATGAAATGAAAGCAAGGACTATTATGAAGGGGTTTAAATAAATTGTTATGATGTTCGCAGAACATGCTGTCTTTTCCCATTAAAATGTTACTAAGTGCTAAATAAGGTTTCAACTAACAAGGTGCCAGAAACTGGCAGAAGGACTTCCAATTTCCCAGTGCCAATTAAATTAAGCCTCAATGAAAAGACCAAGTTTGCTCTAATGACTTTTTAAAAAGGGGGACAGTGTACCAAAGTTGTGAATAGCTGAAGATTTCAACAAAAGTAGTACATAAACCACACTGACTTTATTCTTTTACTGGTTCAAAACTTTGATCATTGGATCCAGTCATTGAGAAGAGCCTGGCCCTAGCCGGTTCAGCTCAGTGGATAAAGCATCAATCAGCCTGAGGACTGAAGGATCCCGGGTTCGATTCTGGTCAAGGGCACATGCCCGGGTTGTGGGCTCTATCCCCAGTAGGGAATGTGCAAGAGTGAGCTGATCAATGATTCCCTCTCATCATTGATGTTTCTCTCTCTCCCTCCCTTTCCCTTTCTCTCTGAAAGCAATAAAAATATAAAGTAAAAAAAGAAGAGCTTGTTCTTAGTATAGATTAAGTCAAATGGTAAATTGTATCTTGAAGAGTACACTGAAAGGGTTGATTTCCTTTTTGAGACTAAAAGAAAAAAGAAGAGAAAAGTGGGGGGGAGGCGAGGGAGAGAGAGAGAGAGAGAGAGAGAGAGAGAGAGATGAAAAAAGAAGAAAGGAAGGTAGATCATGGCTCTCTTACTTTCCTGATCACATGACCTTTAACAGCCTAGTTTAAGAATGGGTATGTATGATAACATTTGTTAACACAAGCTAACTTTGTTAATTAAATCCGAAAATGAAAAGTAGATAATGGTAGAGAAAGTAGAAAATAAGTGCACTTTAAAAACGTAGCAAATAATTAGCACTTCTCATCAAAGATCTATTACTGGACTAGCCTTACTACTAGGAAAACATGACTGTGCTTAGGCTGCTATGGAAAACTTACCTGGACACCATTAAGGGATGCTACCCCCATATACAGGAACACGCCATAGAGTACAGGCATGGGAATAAACTAGGAAAGAAAAAAATTGGAGACCAGTTAAAAACAGTAATAATAAATACAGTAATGGAGAGGGGAAGTTTAAATAAAAACTAAATCTGAAACTAAAAAATAGACCATAGTAATATAATGATCTCTACTTAGTGTGTTTTAGTGATCATTGATAAACTTCCAAATCCTTTGTACTAGAAATAAATGGAGGGGAAGGAGATTGAATTTTCATTTGATGCCTTTTTTTTTTTTTTTTTTTTTACAATGAGCATGCATGACCTTAATAAGTAGTGTGTTGTTTTTTTTTTAATGGGAAAAAAGTTTGTTTGTCTTTTGCCTTAAAAGGAATGACTATGTAAGCGAGATGCTTGCATGAGTTGTGAGGTAGAAAGAGAGGCAGAGGGTCGGTCACCTCACTCCTGAGACCAAGTTCTTTGCCCAACAGTCTATTGATTTTTTTTCCTTAATAATTTTCACCCAATGATCTATCTACTTGGTGTTTAAATGCTTCTTTCAACTAAAGCATCAAACGACTGTCCCTTTCTTCTCCTCAGGAATACTGGGAACTAACTAATGAGAACACCGCTTGAAAGAAGCATCAAGCATCTGCAAGCAATTAATTCCACACAGGGATTAATACACAGCTTTCAAAACCAAGTTAATACATTTCATGCTTTAATTAGCAGAAGTCTTTTTGCATTATACAAAGCGGCTTAACAATGGGATGTTCCACTGTGCTGTTCAGAAGTTTTATCCATTCCCAGCCCTTTGAAACTTCCCTGGAACTACAGGGATGAAGCCACGTTAAGGACGAGCTTCCGGGAAGTCTTTTATCTGCACTATGAAAGGTTCTCAAGGTTCTATTTTGAAAAAGAAGCTCAAGTAACTTCAGGAGTTTTCAAAGCTAAAACCACAATCAATAAGCCCAATCTTACCTCCTCTACATAAAGTAGGCTATTGTAGCAAGAAAACAGAATGACTTTAGAGTCATTTTTAAAGAACTATTGCAAAATTTCTATCGGCCTTTCTTGGGGATTGCCTAAGTATCAGTATGAGACCCTTTGGTCACTATTGGGGAAATAGCAACTTCTAAAATGTCACGAGTATCTCTAATTGTTCTTGGTTTGTTAGAAGAATTGTTAAATTTTATATGGAATAAATATATTTATGTCCATAAAACATCTTCTAAAAAAGACTAAGAATTTTAACATGGGTAATTTGACCTTCAGCTCAAAGAAAAATAAGTGACATTGAGCGCTGAAGGAGGTGGGAGGGATGGTGGGAGTGGTGGGGGAGCCATGTGTGCTATAATACCCAATAGTCACCACAAAGAGGTGAGCACATGAGACTTTATTCCTTTTAGAATGCGAATGTCCCATTTCTTACCATTACTCAGTATAAATTGACAGCAACAAAAAATAAGAAATGAAACTAACAATGGCACCATTTTATTGCTTTGATTTTTTTTTTTATCATTAAAAATCCTTTTGTAATTTTTATAATACGTTCCACAGGCAGGGGACGCTGCCATTGTTCCTTAATACAGGATGATTTCATTCTTATCCTTTTATTTCTAATTTCTTGGGGAAGAAAAGAAAGGTGGAAGGAGGAAAAGAGATGTATAGTTCATGGGGAACTGGTTAGAAGCCCTGCAGTAGTTACTTTTTAATCTGTATAAAGTGCTTTCCTGGCTTGAAGGAAAGTAATCACAAAGGCGACTGTGGCCCTGTGTCCACCCCTCACCTTGGCTTAGCTCCTATTTTCTCTAATGTGGTTCCAATGCCAAAATGAAGGCAAGCTGTGCTTGTGCCCAGGCCTGTTCTTTCTGAACTTACGACGACAAATGTGACTGAATCTACCACAAAATAAAATCAGAATTCACCAGTAACAGAACGGCATGGGGTATGGGTAGGGAAATAGTGCTAGGTATGAAGATGTTTTAAAAAATGATCCATGGGTGAAAAGGAAAGAGTATTTGCAAGAAAGACTACTAATTAGATTTTCGGCCAACTTCACTGTGATACAGATGCTCTGTGAAATTCACCATTTTCTGTACGGTAATGCAGTGTCTCAATAAACATCTTCCAGTCTGGAAATCTTGGTGGATTTTAACAATTACTGGGTTAGAGGATATTTTTTATTGGGTTTGGTTAGTGAGTCACATCAGAAGGTCAATCTTTAAAAATTCATTACAATGGAGTCATTCATCGCAACAAAAAATTTTCCTGAGGAAGGAAAGAATGTGTTTTAAAAGACGGGTTCCTCTTTTAAGTTAAAATAATATAATATACTTAGTAAGAGAAGAGAGATCTATTTTTACACAGCAAGAGTGGAGAAATTAAAACACAGGTTATACTAGGTTTATAGGCATAACAAAAATTGCCAAATGATAAAATTTTGCAAAGAAAATTATTTAAATAACAACCATACCCAGAAAGCCAAAAAGTATAATTATAAATATTATAATGCCTTTAATAAACATAAAAATGAAAAAAAATTATGTGCTTGATCCTACAACCATGTATCTAGAATAATGAAACAGAGATTAAGTCAATGAGGATGAACATATTCAGACTAGGTCCAATTCAGACTAGATAATTGAAATTACTATATTCTGGTTTCTGTCATTCCATTTCCTTTCACTTCTCCTTCCCTTTGATTTTTCTGATAGTGTTAGATTATTTCCATAAGGAAAAAATGCAAAAACGATAAGTCTAATAAGAAAGATGGATTGTAGGTATCCTCAGCACGGACTTCATTACAGGAGTGAGGCCACCAGCAGAATAAGGGGTGTGTGTGTGTGTGTGTGTGTGTGTGTGTGTGTGTGTGTATAAAACTCTGAACAAAGTCCTATTTAAGAGCATGGGCATAGAAATCAGCACAGGTCTGCCTGATAATTTTCAATAAATGATAAATGTGGCATTGATGTCATCAGGACCTTCACTGCCAAGTCAAAAGCCTGCAGCTGCAAAGCACAACTCTCTTTGTTGCCTCGGGGGGGGGGGGGGGGGAATTGGGGGGGGGGTAAGGAAGAGGGGACCAAAGGATAGAGCAGAAGGATTGCTGCAAAGGTCAGAATTGAAGCCTGGGTTTTATTTTAGTCTACAGAATTGTCCTTTCAACTATAACAGCTGCCTTTAGGAACATATTATTAAAATAACATCCCAATGCCCTTAAGCCTTACAAATCTGCGTTAATATGGAAGTTGCTGACTTGTAAACTGCTCCCTATTAATTGAAGAAGCTGTGCAGTGAGGTACAATCAGTCTGTGAAAATGCCACATTTCTCTCCACATAAGAGAACTGGAAAATGGATCAAAGAGGCTGGGAAAGATCACCTCATGGGAAACGAAACCGAATGAATTCTCTGACAATAAGTACTGTTTTATTTCAAAAGGCGGTAAACTCTGATGGTTACGAAATCAGCCTTTGGAGCCAAACTGCCTAAGATCGAATCTTGGCTCTACTATTTAAGAATGTTGTGACCTGACTGGTTATTCATCATTTTTCTTATCAGAAAAAAAATGAGTGCAATGATTAAGATAGTTTTATAAATGTTATTGGAGAACTAAATGTTAAAAACCTGTCCCGAGCCCTTAGTCCAACACCACGCTCAATAAATGGAAGCTCCTATTACAATCACTATTATTTATCGGTATTTCCCTGTTCATGAGCAGGGTGTGTGGCATATTGTAGGAGTTCAACCAATGTGTGCCAAATACTAATTCTTTGCCACCCTTCACATTTTAGAACTCTAAACCAATCTGAAAGTTAAGTGTTGGGCACCACTCCTGTTAAAGATAAACTACTTCAAGCAAAGGCAACAGAGGTAGCCGTGAACTTTACACCATCTTTATTTCTTTAGGCTTACCAGAGGAATGAGAAAAGTAAGCTACCTTTCATCTTTCTGCTGCTCTTTAGCCTCCCAAAAAGAAACACACATCTGAAAGGTTTACCCAGTCTGGGAAGCCAGTTGTGCCTGCTTCCCAACAGTTCTGTATTGAATCAGTAGTGAGGTCTGAGACATGTAAGACGTAGTTGGCTAAGGTCAAGGGGTGTCCTCATGAACTTAACAAAGTTACTATACTATGATTCCTTATATTCCTCCATGTAAAAAAAAAAAGATATAGTTTGGCAAAGAGATCAAAACAGAGGTCATAAACTGCATGTTCAAAGTAAGCCTGCCTAAGCAGGGGCAGAGAACAACTTCCTATGGCGCTCAACACATGGGAGAAAATTACTAGGATCATCTGAGGCCATTAAACTTGCGAGGGATCACGTGTTGAGCCATTTCGTTTTTAAAAAGTCAAAGTCACACATTTCTCTGGATCCCGTTCCTTTGATCTGCCTTTTAGGGCAAACTCTTAAGTAAAATCATTCTCTAATGGTGTCACCTGTTTCTTTAAAACACACACAGTCACATGGTGAGGGTGGGGGGAGGGAAAGTTCCCGCCTCCAAGGTAAACCCCCACCCCCATCCTGCTTTTCCCTGTAAATTCTGAGGTTAATTGTTAATCTTGACTTTTAATTTAACTTTGATTCACTTGTAACTTGGGTTTTAGTTTAACTGTACCCTTAATATTTGCTTCTTCCTGTGTTGACTTTTCAAATGAGCTACAACAGTTCTGTGGTGAATGCATATGACATCAAACTTTAATGACAAAAAGGGCACATGGTCTAAAATTAGCTGACTCGCCCTGGCTGGTGTGGCTCAGTTGGTTAAGCATCTTCCCAGGCACCAAAAGGTCCTGGTTTTTTTTATTCCTGGTCAGGGCACAGGCCCAGGTTGTGCGCTGGATCCCCAATAGAGGGCATGCAGGAGGCAGCCGATTGATTTTTTTTCCTCCCTCCCTTTCTCTCTCTATAAAATCAGTGAAAACATACTCATTTATAAAAATAAATAAATAAAAATAAAATTAGCTGACTTTATTAGTGATGATTCTTAAAGTAAAAAATAGTTGTAATTAATTTTTTAAAAATATCGCAGTAGTCACTGCTGTACTATTCTACTCCTGTTTTTAAATCTAGGTTTCCCACAATATGTTAGAAACTATATTAACCAAACAATTTCAAATCCCACATTTTGGGCAAAGTCTTGCCTAATAAAACTGTTTGCTGGACTGCCTTTTTCACTGATCCCACAATGACTCTCTGCATTGACCCAAAGCAGGAGGTGGCAAGAGCCACAATTATGGACTCTAGCAGCTTAATGAGCGTGAGCAAAACCTGCATCACTGAAGGGAGGTCAGAGGAAAAGTGAGCTCATGCTCACTGATCCCTTTGATCCCTTGCATCTCTCCTTTTTCTTTCTCTGCATTCTAATTTGTTCCTGTAGATACTAAGGTGCTTTGCATATCCGAGGCAAAAAGAAGCCCTGGAAAAGAAAGAGCAAAAACATTTTCAACTTTCATTCTTCTGCAGCCATATTTGGGTGCAGGGTGAGAAAACAGGGAGTGTTGTTGAAAATGTGAGTCTTGCGTCTCATCCGAAAAATAGCGATTTATACAGTAATCTACTGTCTGTGTCCCTTTGGATTCACATATGATTCCTCAACTGACAGATTCTCCAAGATGAAGGCCAATTTGCTGTAACAACTAACAGACTTGAAACACATCTGACTTTGTGCTGATGAAAATAAACAATATAAAAATAAAAGAAACAAAAATAAATAATATAAAAATAAAAGAAACAATGTGTGTGTGATGAGTAAATATGAACTGATGGAAAGATCTTTGGATATTATCCCTTGTCTACTAATGGCCAAGTACAAGAGACCCCCTAAAATAATCTTTGCAGTGTGCCAAGCAAGCCCACCTCCTGGGGGAGCCCAGGAGCAGATTCATTCCCAGTACAGCCTCCCACACATGGGGTCATAACTGCAGCAAAGACCTCTCTAAAAACTGATGTCTGCAGATGAGGTCTGCTGCTCAGGCGGTACGAAGCTGTCATTGGATTTCCCCATCAGCTGACGTGCGGCTGCCCCTGGGCCAGCAGAGGGACAGAAAGCACTTTGGCAGTGGACTTAATGCTGGGGAACACTTCAACCCTACCCCGCAACTCGCTGTGCACTTAGCAAGAGCAACACTTCCCCTCTGTCCGCGTAGAACAGGGCTGTTCAATCTGTGTGTAGCAAGAATTTTTTTTAAAAATTGATTTGAGAGAGAGAGAAATATCAATGTGATAGAGAAACATCAAGCCGCTGCCCTACCACCACCATCCACCCTAAGCAGTAATTGAACCTGAATCCCTTTGGGTATAGGCGGGAGGATGCTCAACCAACTGAGCCACGCTGCAGGGGCTGTACTACAAGACATTTTAAAATATGCGATACCTGATTATTCAGTCAGGGGAACTGGCCTCTATTCCTTTACAGTGTCAAAAAATGACAACAGCCAACACAACAATAGCCATTCGCGGTGAGCGAATCAAAATTTTATGTTTTGTGGTTGGTTTGTTTTTTGCAAAATCGGCAAAAGTTATATTTTTTGATGCATTGCAGAATTTTAGTAATTAGTTTATGTGTGCCAGGAGATGAAAAATGTTGAAAATTGCTAATGCAGAACATAAATTCTACACTCTTTTAAGGTCCTCTCTCTATAATCAGAAATGGCTTCTGTAAGGTTATTTTTAATTTTGCTACTCCATGTGTCGCATGAGATACATATTCCCTCCTGATTGCAGTCAAAAAAGGAATTAAACCAGTTAATTGACATTGGGGAAACCAAGGATGAAAGATGAATATTTAAATATTTTAACTGTTTACCAGGTATTTTGTGCATAATTATGCATTAACCTAAGTATCCTAAAGGCAAAGTCAGTCTTATCTATATGTTTAAGAATTTATAATTTCATTGTTCTCAAACTCATCTGATTGGTGATTGACATATAATGTTCTAACCGAGAGAAATGGATGGTTTTTGCCTTTCGCCATCTGTCCTGTATTGTTTGAATTCTTTACAAGAATGTACTGCTTCATTACTTGTGCAATTAAATAAGTATTTTAAAAACCTTATAAATTAGAATTGTTTAAAAATTTTAAAAAAATTGTCAGGAAAAAAATTTGGAAGGAAATTGCTAACCGTTGTTTATGCTATTGGTTTAGAGGTGAATTTGGTGCTTTGCATTGTGGTTCAAAGCATAAGATACAAATTATCAATAAGTGGCTCGTATGTTTATAAGATAACAAGAAAATAAAATGCTTGTGTCACAAAAGAAAACTGAAAGTTTTATGACAAGTATGTATTAATCTGAGCCTATTTTAGTCCTATTTCTGTTTCTCAGTAGGTTTTCACATGTAGTTTATATATTTATATATTTAGGTCAGACATTCACCTTACTACTCAAACCTTCATATTGACTCCTAACTTTCTAAATAACCTACCATATCATTTTCCTTCAAAAATTCAATTCCAGGCATGCTCTCTCTCGGGAGCAAGTCCAAGCCTTTCCTGACCACAGTTTCCTCCTCCCCAGGCACGTTATCTTTGCCTTTCCGTCCCCTAAGCTCCTAGGCCCTCTCTTTTGCTTCTGTAACTTGTTCCCCGAGCTTGCACAGCCCAGCTGTCTCACTGCTATTCCTCTTAACTTTCTAAATAAACTTTCTCTTATCATTTGAAAAATGTTCAATTCTAAGTTTTCTAATTATAAATCAGTAATTTTACTATATTCACCCTTTGTGAATATTAGGCCTTCTTACTCAAATAAAATAGAAATAGTCAGTAATAATTAAGAATAAAAGAAAAATTACAAAATGATTATCCTGAGTCACTCATGTTATCCAGGAGTCTGTTATGGGGATATAACGGGGCGGGAATTAGAGAAAATAAATGGAAAGCGATGGAAAGAAAGGATGAAAGAAAACTATGGGGATAAAATATGTGAGGTGGAGGAAAATCAAGTTGAATTACATGCAGTTGCCATTTTCATAGGACAAAAGTTGGAATATTGGTAATGTAATATGGTTTAAACCAACTAATTATAATAACAATAATGATAGAGTATAGGAGTGAGCAGAAAATTAAGATGAAAGTTTTTTAAACCTCATTCTATCTGACCACTATTGCGGAGTGTTACAGAACTAATGAGAGTCCTGCAGATGTTTCATAAGAAATTCTACCCTTCACATATCCAGTTAGCTGCTAGTATTGGAGAAGGACAAAATATTTCACATATTTACCTTCAAGATGGGAGCCATAAAGACTGACAGACCAGTCAGAATAAACACAAGGGTTCCAGTGACTCTTTGTTCCCTGAAATCAAATCAAAAGATTACCAATCTACCTCTTGTTTTTCCACCTTCAAAAAAGACTATACATTGACTGAATCAATGTTTGGCTAAAATAGCAAAGGTGTTGATATCATATGTAATTAATACCTCTAGGACAGCATATAAGCTCAACATAAATATGAAATTCTCTTAAACCGATTGCAATGTGTGATTTTAATTCATCAAGAGGAAACTGATTCTGCTAAATCCTTTGCTCCTTTTAGAATCAAGAAAGAAAAAAAAAACATCCCTAGCTCTTGGCCCATCAAGTATGGGCCTCTTTGAAGCCCTTATTTTTTAAACAACTTGAACTGTTGTGTAATTACACCTTCTTTCACAGGAGACAGATATTACATTGTCCCACATTCTAATTAATAAACAGGTCAGAGAAATTTCATAAGTGCAATTAAATCTCATCAGCCTAATTTCCAAATCTACAACAACAAAAGTACTTTTTAACAAATATGATTCCCATACAACACCCCCTCCCCCGGCCCCCAAGAAAGAATCACCCACTGTTGTGGCGTGGGAAACGATGGCTCTGTCATGTGAGCTATTCACCCCAGCACTGAGGGGCAGGGTTTGCTGTAAAAAGTAGACAACAGCATAAAGGTCCTGTAAAGTCCTTCATGGCCACTCAAATTTAACAGCCAAAAGTCAAAGGTTCTCAGGCTTATGGGGATCGAAAATGAACTGGAAAATAAGAATTCGTTTCCCTTCATAGAATCTTAAAAAATCATAAGCAGACTCAAGAGTTTTAGGGAATCTCAAAGGCACTAAAAGATGAAAGGGCTTGGTCTTTATATCTGATCTGCTAGCGTAAGTACCACAGCACCAGCAGGAACTGCATGTTGAAGAAAATGAGTGACCTGTTTGCATTTTTATATTGTATCACTTAGCCTTTCATAAGTAAAGAAAATTTACTTATCATAAGAAGCAAACTCAAAAAAAAATTGTTGAGGACTCTCTTTCTGATGAAAAATGTAGTCCTTTCTAGAAAAGGAAGTGCAGGAATAAATTAACCATCACTGGCCCTTTCTCTTCCGTATCTTCCATTTGCTTATGATTGACATGTGGATGTGTGCACGTGGTGTTCTGAAGAGCCACTGTCTTCTGACGTCACATACCTCACTCCAAGGAACTTGGGCTGCTCTCCAGGGGCAGAGGTCTCCGTCTCCATCTTCAGACTGTCGATGTGAGCAATGGAGATGACGGTGGCAGCCACGTACCATGGGAGCGCCATGAAGGAGCACACCACCATGAGGATGGCCACCCAAAAGAGGTCCAGGTGATAGCCAGCTCCTTTCTGTGGAAAGAGGGAACAAAGCCACGTGAAGAAAATACTCATACTGCTATCAAATCATAGCTCCAGGTGGAGTTAAGATTAGTCAGAGAAACCAACTCGCTCTGCTCAATAAAAATATCCACGAAAAGGTAAGCTCTCTGAGTGAAGTGACTTCACTGTCCTATTGATCACCTTAGCAATGAAACACCAAGTGGCCACATGGCACCTCTTCTATCTCGATGTGTTACAGCTTCCTTATTATTTGTTTACTGTTACGTATCTTCTCTGCATCTGATTTTGAAACCAACACATCTACCTTGGCGAATATTGGAACCATTCAATGAAATAACAGAAGCAAAGCACCTGTAATAGGCAGTGGTTGCCTCTTAGTAGGCGCTCAATAAATAATAGCAGCAATAGGGATATCGATTGTTGTTAACCTAAGCAAGAAAAGCACCTTAAAAAGCAGGCACTGTGCTGTCTCTGCTCAACTGCTTAGCAGTATGCTGTTCACCTAGACAGCATTCAGCATGTAAATGAAAGATTTGAAAGGAGCCTTGAGAAGCAGGGTAGAAGACCATGCCTCACCTTTCAAAGTTGTTGAAAATAAGTGTTTAGAATCTGCTGAACATTATCATGAAGGTAATGAATATCCCCATCATTACAATAGGCTGATTTCAAGCATTGCCCAATGTTCACAATAGCATTTATTGACTGGGAGAGCAGACAAGGTAACAAAAGGTCTAACTCTTTTACTCACTAAATCAATATTGTCAAATGTGTCCACAATGTTATTCTATGGTTCTGTTTCTCTGTTCTATTTGTGAAGAAATCAAATGCTTCATGCCCCTATGGAGCCTGAGAAAATAGAGCAGTTCATTTTCACAGCATGAAAGCAGCAGCACCAATAGCCAGAATATGACCAATCCCATGGAATAGAGACGATGGCTCTAAAAAACGAGAATGTGGTTTTACACTAGGAACCCAGTGACTGTTTTGATTCAGATCCTGTTACAGTTAGTCAGAACACTGCTCTCCTCTCTCTGAAAGGCCAAGATCTCACCCCTGGCTCACACACATGGGTCTAATCATGTTCTCACAGAACTCATCACAGGCAAGGGGGGCTGACACAAGAAAGAAAAGCATAAATTTATTTAGTCCGAGTTTGACTAAGAACAAAAATCTCCTTGTGAGACAAAGAGACTAATGCATATTCATAGAACCAGTTCATTTCAGCATCAGTGGTTTCAAGTGGGAGTGGAGTAAGGTAGGGGAAAGGAGGACAAAGGTGGAGATGGCTAGCAGGAACTCATTAAATAGTAACAAATGAGATCATTATCATGATATATCTGGGGTCCCCAGTCATTCATTCAACAAATACTGAACATTTATTAATAGGCATAGTCCTAGGTGTTGATGACACACTTGAGAATAAAATAGACAAAGATTCTGGCACTTGTGGAGTTTCCATTCTACTAAGAGAGACAACAACAAACAACATAAATAAGTAAATACCCAGTATCTTAAAGAGTAATAAACACTAAGGGGAACTAGAAGTACTTGGGCTTGTACGCTGAGTACTGTTCATGGGAGCCATGGAAGGTTTTAAGTGGAAGAGTGGCAGGATTTGCTTATGTTCTAAGCACTACAGCTGCTGTGTTAGGAACAACCTGAAGAGGGTCAAGGACACAAGACCTCCTAACTTACAAATTCCATGTTAGAGCTCGTGACAGAATGAGAGAGGCAGCAGTAAAGATGGCAAAAAGTGTTTAGATTCTGATTATACCTTAAGGTGGCACTTACAGAGTGTGTTCACTCCTGCCTAAGTCTGTGTCTTACGACCTTGCTACATGCCATTCATGATATGGCTTCTGTTCACATCTGTAAACTCACATTTCACCTGTCCCCTGCTTGGTTCCTATGCCATGACTACTTTCAACCACATGTAATTCCTTGAACATGTCTTACTCACTAATGCCCACATAGCACCCTATACCTGAAATAACCACTACTCTGCCTTCTTCCATTGGCTCAGTATTACTCATTCTTAAAACTTAAATCAGCCTTCACCTTTTCTGGTAGTTTTCCCTGTTTCAGTCAGGTAAGATGGCTGAGTTCCTTAAGGTTAGGTCTCCTTTTTCATGTTTTCCTAATCTGTCATTTCATGCTTTCCTCTATCACAGCACTCATCACACGGTTTTAAAATTGTATGTATTATTTATTTGTCTTTAACATTAGACTATGAGTAACGGTAGGACTGCAACTGTATCCTGAATACTTTTTAGCATTGTGCATGATGTAGAGTCAATTCCCAATTAATCTTTACTAAAAATGAATGACAATAAAGACGGTGTGGTTCAATGGTTGAGCACCAACCCATGAACTAAGAGGCCTCTCATTCGATTCCTGGTCAGAGCACATGCCCAGGTTGCAGGCTTGATCCCTAGTGCGGGAGTGCGGGAGGCATTTGATCTATGTTTCTTTCTCATCAAAGTTTCTATCTCTCTATCTCTCTCCCTTCCTCTCTCTCTAAAATCAATAAAAAATTTTTTTAAATGAATGATAAATAGGATTTATACATTCTTCTGAAGGTCAACTATAATTAATTTATTGGCCATTCAAAAAATTAAAACTTTATTTCTTAATTGGTAGAAATAGGAGTCATTTTGGCAGAAAGTAACAGATGGAGGTGGATAACAGCTGGAATATCACACAGTTTTAAGCCTTACCTAGTTAGCTTAAATCACTCAAGCCTATATTAAAGGTACCAACAGGGTTGTTAATAGGCAGGATCCCCAAATCTTGTCTCCAAGAAAGCTGAAATAACCTAAAGATGTGGACACTGGCCAGATCAATGGGTCAAAAGAATTAGCTGTTGCAGAAAAATCTATGCTGAAAGCTATCTTGATGCTTTCTTAAACTCTTTCAACTAAAAGAAGTTTGAGTAAAATATCTGGAGACAAGCAAAAAGGGGCCACATGATACCAAAGAGGGTAATATGAGGATTTTACAAAGTAGAATACAAACCTTGGAAAGCAAAAACACCAGAATAAATAAAATTTCTGGAGCAAAATAATATATAGATAATTACTCTGTGCCACTTAACATCCCTCTCCTCAAAAAAGTCTTCCTTTCCTTCAACCACATTGAGACCCTAACTTAGAACGATTTTTATTTTCAACATCTAACATGAATGCTCCATATATAGCAAGGACTAATACATGCTTGAAAGGTTAAGTATGTCCTTAAAAGTTTAAAAAAATGTCCTTGTCTTCAAGAATTAAATCCAAAAGATGTTCTACCTTCTGAAACCAGAGATTATTTTAAGTGAAGGAATAGGAAGTGAAATTTCACTTCCTTTTGATACTGCACATGCTTTGTTATAGAAAGCAAAAGTAATTTAGGAATGCAAATACAGAAATAAAGAAACTACGAGAGAAAAAGACTAGCCTAACAATCTAAAGTTTACATTTGGTAGTAGATGATTATGACAAAGAGGTCAGGAGCAATATACACATATGCATAGACACAGAATAAGCATTCACGCTAAGAGCCCCCCATAATGCAGACAATAAGATTTTATAGGGACACTGAGAACCATGACATAGTTCTTTCTACCAAAGGGTTCACAATGAAGTGTTTAACTATGTCTAGAAATAATCCACAAAAATTCCTGCAGTGATGTCATCTCAACGGTTGGAATGCTAGAAGCTCTCACTATGAGAATTGGAGATGGGCTGGCATAGTTTCCAGTTATCACCCATCTCAAACAATGCAATACCTCTGAGAAGCATGTGGCCCAAGATAACAAAATTCTTCAATGTGTATTTATTGAGTCTGCCATATGGCAATCATTGTGATGCACCGTATGAGAGCAGTTTCAAGACTAAAACATGGTCTTTAGCTTAAAAACGAGTTGGCCCAGAGAAGGACATAAGGTAAATACACAAATTATCTATCTTGAAGGACAAAGTACCACAAAATAATACAAAATTACTAAGAGAAAAAAAAGCAATAGAAATTATATTAAGAGTGAAGGCTACTCTAACAAATGTTTATATTTGGAGTATCTTAAAGGAAGGTGAGGATTTTGATAAATGGTAATCACTAAGGGTTGGAGAGTAGGATAACTAGCAGAAGAAATTGCTAGACTTGACAACAAACCAACAATAAATTTGATCACAGTATTGTATAGTTATGTGAAGAGAATCCTTTTAAATTTAGGTTGAGATCATATCACAAAGAGACTTAAATCCCAGGCTCAGGCAAATTGATATTCTTCAAGGGGCAAAGATTTAAAGGCCAAGGTATACAGGTTTAGAAATAGAGGACTGACATATAAGAACAACACTTTAAAAAAATATATATTAATTTTTACAGAAAGACGAAAGGAGAGAGAGAGAGAAAGAGAGAGAGAGAGAGAGAGAGAGAGAGAGAGAGAGAGAGAGAGAGAGAGAGAGAGAGAGAGAGAGAGAGAGAAATCAAACCTACAACTCAGGCATGTGCCCTGACTGGGAGTCTAACCAGACACCACTTGGTGCCTGGATTGATGCTAAACCAACTAGCCATACCAACCAGGGCTCGGAAAAACACTTAAAAATATTTATTGCTTTTAGAATGAAGCAAAAGAGACTGGTTATTAACTAAACAATTAGTTAAACAATTAGAATATTCTAGACATGAAATGAAAGGATCTAAGTTTGATAGCAGGAATAAAAAGAAAAAAATGAAAGCAAGGCAGATTTTTTAGTTATCCAAGAAAACACATTAAAATTTAGAGTTTTATTATAGAGAAGATCAGACAAAATTTATTGCTACAACCACTTAATATATACCTATCCAAAACTATTTCTCCTTCCCACATCCTATCTATAACACTTAAAATCACTTTCCTTGTGAGAAGTATCCCTTGCTTTGTGATCTGAAATCCAGACACTCTTCTTGTCTCTGCAATGATTCGAGGAATGACCTTGGATAAGACATGACCTTGCTGAACCTGGTTTGCTTCTGAGTGCTCTGCAAGGATAATGTGGGGAAAACCAACCAAAATGATGGCCAAAATAGAAAAGCCAGGTGCCCTGGCATTCCTACATCAATACAGAGCTGTGCAGCAGAGTGGAAAGATGGATCTCATCCCAAAGGTGGATCTCATCCCAGCCAGTGCCACTTGACACAGAGCCAAAGCAAAAGCCACCCAAAACCATGCTGCTTTTAATATCACAACGCTCCCATTTCCTCACTGTTTCAGGTTTCTCTCTGGACTCAATTTCCTAGTAGACAGGGACCTTTATAATTTTAGACAATGTCTCCAATTTTCACATTCCTTGACTAACAAATGTGAACAAAACAATATCCAGTGTGAAAAGCCTTTAATTCATTATGAAATCTTCGCTAGTATCATTAGATGTGTGTCAAAAGACTGGCACTTATTCTATAACCATTATCATTCAAAGGAATGACTTCAAATAAGCAATTATAAAAGTGATGAAAACTTATTTTTTATTTACTACACAACTCCTATTTCCAAGAGGTAAATCTTAATGTGTCTGGATTTTCCAATGTTTTCTACAGGGAATAGGAGAATTAAAATTTATGTTTTTTCAATTCTAAATTTTCTAAATTCAAAATTCTGAATTTTATTAATAAGAAAACCTAAGCAAAATGAAAATAGTTCTTTACTTCCAAAGACACATAAAAATCGGGCCAACTATATATCAAAACAAAGATAATATTTCCAATCTTTTTTCAGAATAAAATATTAGCCAACATCCATTTTCAGCCTTTCAAACTAAGTCAATGCTGAACCCCTCCCAGTATAGAACATCTGAAAATGCTTGACCAGTTACAGAAAATATCTTATACAAATCATGGCTACCAGATAGAAAGTAAGAGAAACAATTAGACACACACACACACACACACACACACACACACACACACAAAAAACCAATGGCAACAAGAAAGAATAAATTTACAGAATCAGCAAGCCCTAGAGTCCAAGCCTGCCCTGAGAGATCATAAGAGTCCTTAAGGTTTTAAGACTGGATTAGTATGACCTTCTGAATTCCATGAACAGGAGGTCAATCATAGGGATACAGGAGAAATAAAACAAAGATACTGTGAACACAGCATACTAAATCGGTCAACTAAAAACTAAAACCTACAGAGAAAATCAGTGGGAATACATGCCTCTCTTGGTCTTTCCAGGAGATGTAATTTCATTAAGAAGGGTAAAAAAAAAAGTAATCCTGAAGATATTCCCAACCATAAATCAACAACTGGGTTTGGTGCTGGAATTGCTCTCTTCAGTGGCTAAGAAAATACAACATGAAACAACTTCTTTGGATTTAAATGAAATCTCCCTAAAGTATTATAGTGAGGAAATGTGTCAATACAAGGTGTTCCTAGGTCTCTGCCAAGACTTAAAAAACGGTGGCTATAACATAACTCCCAATCAAACCATCTTAGTTTGAGTTGTTATTTATTTCCGAATACTTCAAAGAAAGGAGAAGGCAATGAATGATAACAGTTTTTATAAGCATTTACCTTGAGTTTATGCTCCTTCCTGTTTACAATCACAGCTGTGATTTGCTGGTCCATGAAAATGAGAATGGTGACCAACAAAGCGGGGATAACAGCCGCCAGGGACACCCACCAGGGGTTTTTTCCAAATGGCGGGACAAACCAACCGCGGTTTGGACTTGTTGGCTTGAAGAAGAGAGAAAACAATCAATATGAATACATACCACTTGGTGAAAAATCAACAAGGGAGAGATTTTATAACTTTAATTTGGGAGAGCCAACACAAAAAATGAAAAGAGTTTTATGAATAGGTTGGACAAAGAAGATTATTCACCAAATGGTTTTCCTAAAGGAGCTTATTTCTAAGACAGTAATTTAAATGAAGGAGACTAAGAATATAGGTCCGGTGGAGGGGAGGGGGGAGTCTAAGATAAGGACTCAATATGGAAGAAAGGAATTTAAGTTTAAGGGCCGGCCATAAGAAAAAAAAAAAAAAAAACAGATGTGAAATTCAGTGAGGGTTTAGGCAAGAAATTACAAAACTACCATGAACTTTGTCTATGGACTTGATCAATTACACTGAAGTTGTTGCTAATACTGCCACATTATAATGATTTTATAATATAATGTATAAAAAGCTACAAATATTTTTTATGTTATACTCAAACTTATTTGAACACTGTTGTTTCTTATTTTATATATGAAAAATAACCCAGGATAATTGGTTAAATCCTCAGAAATATCACAGAAAATGAAAAAATATATACAGTTATCCTTCTAGTTCCCAATCTATAGTCTATCAGCAGATCATACAAAAAAAAAATCCTATTCTTTTTTATAACTTTAAATAATGTAAGTAAACTAAAATAAAATCCTACCTATGAATTATTTTCTCCATCTTTACTATCAGAAAAGTCTCATTTCTCATCTGAAGATATTTCTGTTTTTCCTCTTACTTGCTCATAACTCCATCACTGAATTTACTACCTTTACCAGGTTGTGAGCTTATAAGGAAAGGAACTTTGTCTTGTTTACATTACAGATATCTAGTATAGAGCTTAATTCAAAGCACACATCCAGAATAAGTTGTCTTAAATAAACTAATAATTAAATGTATGAGAACTTTTCTTTGCTAATGAATATGTGATGGAAGAGATAATGCAAAAATATTCTGTTTGCTATAACATAGATATCCTTTCTTCACTGAGTACTTATTAAGCTAAAACTATAGTTAAGTTAATTTTTCTTAGCAAGTAGATGGTCTCCATGATGGAAAGAGAGGTTAGGAATATTCTAGAAAATAGGTATAAAACTTATAATGGAAACTTAGGTATTTATATGAAATATTAAGAATGACTGAAATGTAAACTTTAGCTATTGGGCCTGCAAATACCAACAATATAAAATGAATAGTTCCTTTATCTCCTGTATAATAATTAAAATGCACATTATACACAAATATATGCTTACACGGCAGGTAGTTTGGTAGCAGAAAAAAAGCACTGAAGTAGTGATGTAATTGTGGGTAATTTACTTGATTTTTTTTTTAGCTTAAAAATCAATTTCATAAAATGAGGATGACGCTAGTTACATTACATCCTAGAATTATTTTATGGGTCAAAGTGATGAGTTGTATGAAAATACTCTGAATATTTTAAAATACTCTAAAAGTATAAAGCAGCGTTTGTAATGTTATCATAAGGAATTTTTCATAAAAACCAATATAATCTTAACTTTGCATATGATCTTTCAGGCATCTAATTTTAATTAAAAAAACAAACAGACAAATGCATACATGTGCCTATCAAGAGAACATTTTCAAAATATGTAAAGAAATGGATAATTGTACAAAACTAACCAAGGACAGATATGACAAACTAGAATAATAGGGGGAAGGAAAGGAAGCCCAAGAGTTACAGGAATGACCAAAAAAACAGAAGTTCACCTACCTTGAACTCACTTGGCACAATAAGTTTTGGAGTATCCACACCTACCAGGGCATCTGTTACACAAAAGATGAGAATGGACAAGATGATGGCAAAATCGCTGATCAGTTTTCTTGCCTGGGAAAATAAAAAGAACTGTTTAGTACTGGATCCATATATTTGCCTGTGTTTGAATTGAACGAAGAAGTCTGTATTTGCTAACAGTTTATAGGAACAGCTTCATCAACAAGTGAAAGGAGTTGGTACACTTCAGAGATATTATATTTCAAATTACTAGAGTAGACACCTGAGTTTCCCTATAAGATACTTACATGTAGCAGTGCAGGATATGATTATTCCACAAGAACTTAGTACCTAATACTTTGCTTGGCACTAGAAATATCACAGGGAACCAAACAGACACAATCCATGCCTCAGGAAGCTTACAATCAAGTCATTCACAAGGAAGCCTGCTCCTAGTTTTAGATAAAACCATGCTCGATTGAGCAGTTACCAGGTTGTCTCAGGGTGAAAGGTCAGTTTTCTGGTGCTGCCAGATGAAGAGATATCGCTGATGGGCTGAGTGGATGCACAGTTCTCCAGGGAGGGGGTCTTGTAAAAGAGTAGCAGGAAAGGGAGGCAGGAGAGTCAGTGTCAGAGGGATGCAGTGTCAGACGGGCCATTGTGGGCTTTGAAGATGGAGGAAAGGGGCCACAAGCCATCAGGTGTTCAATGGAACTGGAAGTGAAGCATGCAATAACTTGATGGTGTGGGATCTATAAGCTGAAGGCTGAGGCAGGGCTCAATTTGTGACCATTACTGGGTGTCCGGAGCTTGTACTCACTACCAGCAGGACCACAGATGGCCTGTTTGACCACAAGTTCCTTTCCCCGTTGGAGAGCTGGATGCTGGATTATTAAGAAGTATTCCTAGGGAAGCAGAACGACAGCTATGGGAATTTTTGGGGGTAAATTAATGCCAATCAGACTCAATAATTTCAAGCACAGATAAGATGGCATGGATCAGTTTGGGCAGAAAATATGGTACAACAGGGAGAAGCAGTTTGTATAATCAGGTTACTTGGACTGAAACTCCAATACCATTATTTACTATCCTTTCTTAGCATCAATTACTCCACCAGCAAAATGTGGACAAGATAATCCCTAAAGAGTTTATCAGTTTGTTTTAAAAATTAAATAGAATAAGCCATTGAAAGTGCTTAACATAACACCCGGAATATAATAACCTCTCCTAATATATGTTAACTATTGCTGTTTTTCAAGTTCTACAGGCCTCTGTGTCTGCCAAAACCCCCGGAATAACTAAATAATCCACCGTCAGGAAGTCTTTAGGAAAAAAATATCTTCAAATACAAGAAAAAATAAAAAATAAAAACCTAGTAATAACATGAAACTGTCACTCAGAGCTAATTTCTATAGAAAGATGTTTTCTAGGTACTCAATACTGGAGAAAACTCCCGTTTCTTTCTTTTGCTTTCTTTTTTAAATCAATCAACTTTATTTGTTAGCACAGTTTTCTATTTACAGAATAGAGAAGATAGTTGAGAGAGTTCCATATACTTCCTGTCACAATTCCCTCTATCATTAACATCATGCATGAGTGTGGTATGTTTGGAAATACTCATTTCTTAAGTTTTGTGCAAGTGTTGACACAGGCAGTCCAGGATGATCTGGCAAAAGTGGTCATGGGAAGCAGATTCTGGAATATATTAAGATGTTACAACAACCTCGTTGGTCCAGTAAGTTATAAATCACTGGAATGACAGAAGTCATTGCAAAGGCAAAAAAAAAAAAAAAGTTAGTTTTTCTTTATCACCCTCATAATCCTTACCCAGTAAATCCAACTTCTTGACAACTCAGATATACCAGAAGATGTTGAAAACATTTTATTAAAAAGACCGTGGTCTTTTTTTTTTTTTTTTAAGGAGGCATTCTCAGTTTTCCATAAACTGAATACTAAACCCCCGAACCTACTCTTTCAGCTGTTTTTTTTTTTCCATACTAATTAATGGCAACTTATTTCTTCCTAATGGTTAGGCCAAAAATTACACGTGACTTTTCTCTTCCTCTCATATCCTATACTAAGCAGGCCAGCAAATTACCTTCAAAATATATCCAGGATCCTGTTACTTCTCTCCACCTCTGTTGCTATGACCACCTTTGTCTAAGCCACCACTTTATCTCTTCTGGTTTTGTGCACCTCATTCATCTTCCTGCTTCTACATCACCGTTCCCCCTCCTTCAGTACGCTGCCAAGGTATCATCCAGCATAATCATGTTAAAATTTAAATGATGTGTAGGCAGAAAAATACCCCCTAAAAATACCCATCACTAATTCCTGGAACCTCTGAGTATGTACATTACATGACTAGGGAGAATCAAGGTTGCTACTCAGCTGACCTTGAGATTGGAAAAATGATCTGGTATTATGATGACAGGTCCAGCGAAATCACAAGGGTGCTCATAAGTGAAAGAGGAAGGCAGGCAAGTCCGTGTCAGAGGGATACAGGTGAGAAAGATCTGACAGGCCATTGTTGGCTCTGAAGATGGAGAAAAAGAGCCACAAGCCAAGAAATGTGGGCGGTCTCTAGCAGTCAGAGAAGGAAAGAAAATACATTTTCCACCAGAGCTTTCAGAAAGAACACAGCCCTGCCACACCTGGATGTTAGCCCATCTAGACCCATTTCAGACTCTGACCTCCAGATCTCAAGACAATAGATTAGTGATGTCTTAAGCCATCATGTTTGTAGTAATTTTATATTGCCTCCATGGGAAACTAATAACTAATATAAACAAGTAGTTTATTTTAGTATGCTTATTATTTCCCAAATTTATGTATTGATATATAAACTTGAGATAGTCCCTCGGCAAAGGCATTCCAGTCAAGTGTGGTGTTATTAACTTTTAAATATAAAAGCAAGCTAAAAGAATAAATGCTAATAACCTTCAGAATTACATTTTGTACAATTTATTGGGGGGGGAGGGGAAGATACTCAGTTTTGCCAAGTGTCCATCGATAAAAGGTAATAATGTTACTTAACCTCATTAAAAAGCACAGCCAGGGTAATGTGTTCTGTATAATATACTTCTATTTCCCTTTCCTTCCACTTAAATTATGCTATTCAGTTCAGTTACATAATTCACTCCTGGAGACTGTTTATTGTAAGACACTCATTTCTAAGATACTGGATCCAGTTTACTCATAATCAAGGAAATTGATTTTTCTCAGGCCACTTTTTTATTGAACTCTAAATGCTCTAATTAGAAGACGCAGGTAGGGGTGCTGTCTTAGCAGAATATTCAGGTCCTACCCTACACTAAAAAGTTGTTTAATTTGAACGAGGCAACACTGATAGCAGAACCAGAAAGCATCCTAAAACTGTCCGGCATGGAGTCCATATAGCTTATCAGCTACCCTTCAGGACCTGCGTAAGAGCAGCTCTGAGTCTGACTTTAAGGAAATAAGAATTGCTTTCTTTGAGCCCCTCTTATATTTGCAAACACATTTAGGAAAGAAACATGTGAAATTCCTCCCATTTTAAAATTTATTTGACCTTTCATTTTCATCAAACTCGATCTCTTTCAAACACTACAAAACAGCACCCCTTTATGTGTCACTATATCTCTTATCCATATATGTACCCCCATATATATATGTGTGTGTGTATGTACACACACACACACACACACACACACCACACACATATATATAAAATTACAAATGTATTGTTCCTAATACTTTCTAATTCACTACTAGCTCTTACTGGTAATGATTACAAGTGCCAAAGTTTTCATGAGAAAAGCTGTTTGCACAGGATTTCATGCACAATCCTGTGAATTTAGAGGCCTCAAACCTAACTTGGACAAATTCTTATAGGTGACTATCCAATCAAATGCTAAGTATCTCCAGGCTCAAGCTTCCATATCCTAGGAATATAAACTATTACAACCTAAGTGAAACACAAATTAAGATAACTCATTCCAGACACAAAAGAGCTAAAGAAATGTTAAAGGGAATTCTTTAAGAAGAAAAAGCTTTAAAAATATGAATGATAACATAGCAATAACTGCATACCTATGAATAATTACATTAACTGTAAATGCATTAAATGCTCAAACAAAAGACACAGGGAGACTGAATGGTGAAGAAGACCAGCTCTCCAACATCCTCCAAAGAGTTCCAAAGTGCGAGAGGACACTGCAAAGTTGCTATTGTACAGGGTTTGGAACACAAATGCAAGTGTACAGTAAATCAGATTCGGCACCAACAGTGTTCCAGCAACATAACCCATGCCTGAAGGTAGAATCACACGGTCCCACAAGGAATCCATTCCCTCTTCCCTGGTTTCAGGGTGTGTCATCTAAGAACCGCAGCTGCCAAGTCACTGCAGCTCTGCAGCTCCTCCATTGAGCACCTGCCCCCTCGTGGTCAGTGTGGGTCATAGTGACCAGTCAGATGGTTGGAAACTTAGCATATTAGCCTTTTATATATAAATCACCCTGGTTTTGAGCTTTTTACTTTTTTTTTTTAGCATATTTTTTATTATAAAAATAAAAAAATACTTCTGACTCTGCATAATTAATTGCAAAATATCTCAATTAATCCAGTAAAAAGCAACCAGCTAAAATAAACTACCAAAGCAAAGAAGAAATTAAGTGGATTGGAAGAGAAATTCAAATAGCCATAAGCTGTTTTCTTGTTCTTGGGTAAAACAACCTAACAAATCTATTATAAACATATTCATGAAGGAGGATACTTTATTAATTATTAAGAGAGTCGTAACCATCGAGATGCCACAGCGAGAAGCTAGTTGATTTACAGGGGGAAAATGAGTTTGTTTCCTCTGAAGCCACAGAGGACGTTCAGTTTCCACTTTGCAAGGCCTGCAGCTGCTCCTGCATTAACTGGGGGAAAGGCTGTGAGCCTGCAGAGCAGTTCCCATGGATGGAGCTGAGAGAGCAGCAGGCACCCCGTGGGTCCTCAATAAACATTAATTTGCGATGTCAATTCCTCTCATGATTCTGGTGCTTGGAAAATGCTAAAAACAACTGTGTGAAAAGCATTTATTCTAGATGAACAAAAAGTAAGCCAAACAAATATGTGCCTTTTGGCAATCA